TGCTCCGGCATGAGGTCCTCCCCGGGCTGCAGGTGGGGATCTGCTCCCCTGTGGGCCTCCCTGGGCTGCAGGGGGACAGCCTGCCCCACCATGGGCTGCACCAGGGGCTGAGGGGAATCTCTGCTCTGGCGCCTGGAGCCCCTCCTGCGGCACTGGCCTGGGTGTCTGTAGGGCTGTCCCTCTCATGCATTCTCACTCCTCTCTCCCGGCTGCTCTTGCGCAGCTGTTTTTTACCCTCTTTCTTAAATGCATTATCCCAGAGACACTACCACCATCTCTGATGGGCTCGGCCTTGGCCAGTGGCAGGTCTACCTTGGAGCCGGCTGGCACTGGCCCTATGGGACATGGGGGAGGCTTCTGGCAGCTTCTCACAGAAGCCACCCCTGTAGCACCCCTGCTACCAAAACCTTGCCACACAAACCCAATACACTTGTAAAATACCAAAATACTTTTTTTTCAGAATGTTATGAAAAAAATGTCTTGATATTCTTCGTCAGAACTATGGTTTGGGGCTTTTCTGGGAGTAGGAGGAGGGAAAGTTAAAAATCCTGAAAAAAATTTTTTTAATCAGTACGAAATGTTTTTTATTCCCCCAAGTACGTTGACCAAAGGGTGTTTTACGCTTTTTAATTTTGGCAGCATTATTTTTCTCTGTGGCCTTGTGAAGCCCAATTAGGGGAGATTTGCTGCTACGTCCATCAAGGTGACTCTCCTAGGTCTCTTAAACTGTTGACTCTGAAAGACTTGGAGCTCTTTTGAGTGAGAAAGAGAGCTTTTGTCGTGTGTGTAAAAAGGCCACAGAGCCAGTGGGTGGGTTTGGGGCTGCTAAGATGGGTCATCTTCCTGGTTTGTCTTTCCCAGAGACAGCAATGAATATTGGTTACTCCTGCAACTTGCTGAATGATGACATGGAGGATGTTTTCGTTATTGAAGGCAGCACATCTGATGATGTACTTAATGAGCTGAGGTAAATGGCTGAAATATACAGCTTCTTTCGTACACTATTTGTATTTTGTATTATTACACCTTTTTCTCCTGTGGGCTTTACTTGATGCAGTTCATTCGGGGACCTTAGGTAAGGGCTTAGCTGGCTCCCTGGAAGATCAGGCAGCTAAACACAATGTAGAAATCTCCTCTGAGGATAAAATCTGAAGGTTCTGGATCCAAGAGGTCAAATCTATATAAATGCGTAAGAAAGCAGAGTCAGGCAGGCAATTTCAGCTGACATTGAACAAATGATCTGGAGCCACAAAGCCTTTGGCTCCAGGTTTGAGCTCCACTGTTGCTCTACTGCTATTGTCATTCATCCACATTGCGGACCTCTGCCTGGATCTGGTCCTTTCCTAGCATTATCTAGAAATCACCTTCTTCCCTAGCCTCTTCAGTAGACACAAATTCACAAAACAGGCAAGTTTTTCAGTCCTTTTCTCTTGAAATAGGTGGTTGCCAGAAAATACTCACAGAAAATTGGGATGCCCTTTGGGATACTGTCCTTCATGACACTCAGATAATTTGTGTGACTTTAAATCAGCGCAGGTTTAGCACACACTCGTTAAGAGTTTCACAAGCATGTGGATGATCCGCACAAACAGCAGCAGCTAAACTGTGCATGTTGTTGTAGGGATACAGGGACAATTGAACTTAACTGTCAAAAGGAAGCATTGATTTTTTATTTTCATAAAGTTGATTTAATAAAACATATATATCTTTATAAGGTTTTCATTATTATTCTGGATTTTTTTTTAGGGATGCAAGGAAAAAGATGAAGCCAGACTCCTTTCTGGACAGTGATGAAATCAACATTCAGTTTGAAAAATCTTCAAAAAAAATAAAAATTCTACCTGACGAGCAAGCCAATGGGGTGTACGGTCTGGTTATCACCGGCCACAGCCTGGTAAGGAAGGTTCAGAGCCATGTTAGGTCTGGGTTATCTGAAGAACTTAATGTGATAGGGACATACTGGAAGCCTGAAAATGCTTTAAAAATTTATCTCTAGAGGACTGGATTTTTTTTTTCCTAATTGAAGATTAAGTTCAGTGGCTATCTGAGACATCAAAGGTGATGGGCAAGGTTTCAGAAGACTGGAACAGAGTGGAGTTGGCCCTGATGTTAGGAGTACAAGAGGGGCAGAGAGAGAAAATTTCATTTCCAGAAAGATACTAGAAAAATAATCAGGCAGTTTGTAGATGCAGCAAGAAGATAAGATAACATCAGACATGGGTTTCAAGTATGCCAAGAACATGTTCTACTAAATATACCTGATAACAGATAATATTTAACAGATATAATACCTATCTTATAACTTAACTAATAAATTGTTTGATGCTCACATGATGTTCTTATAAGCAAATTGAAGTAGTATGGTATAGATGAAACGGTTAGGTGACAGATGCAAGACTGCTTTGAAAATACAGCTCTTAAGGGCTCACTGTTGATCTAAACCAACAATAAAGTGGCATCTGCAGGGAGCTATCCTGCATCTACTTGATATTTGGTGTCCACAAGAGAGCAGGTAACACCAGGCTGGGGGAAACTGCAGGCATGATGGATTTCAAGATTAGATTTGAAAACAATTTTAATGAATTGGAGAAATACTTCCAAAAAATGGAGAATGCAATTCAGTAAGAACAAATGCCTTGTTCTCCACTTCCACATAATCAACTACACATACAAAATAAGAGATATGTATGTAAGGGTATTGTCTGTAAGACTTGTGAAGAAAGCCTCCTGCTTCATTTGGCATCAGTAAAGTCTAAGCTGAAATAATTCAACTTATTTGGACCACTTTCTTTGAGAAAATAAAAGAGAGAGAAAGTAAAAATAAAACTGTAAGAGCAGTCATGCCTGATCTGGAAAGCACAGGGGAAAATTGAGAGAGTGAGGATTTCTGAGCTGCTGATCAGTCTTGGTAATACTCTTCAAATAATAACAGGTAAACCAAGTAATGGAATTAAACTGAGATGAGAGAGTTTTGGGTGAAATGTCTTCCTGGTAAGAATAGTGAAGCACTGGAATAGATTTTCAATCCCTGGAAATTTTTTAAGGCAGATAAGAGAAAAAAACAATTTAGATCCTTTTCAACCTGTCTGGGAGGAAGTTTTCATAGAATCGTAGAATGTTTTGGGTTAGAAGGGGCCCCTAGAGGTCATCTAGCCCAACCCCCCTGCAGTGAGCAGGGACACCACTAACCAGATCAGGTTGCTCAGAGCCCCATCCAACCTGGTCTTGAATGTTCTCAGGGATGGGGCCTCCACTATCTCTCTGAGCAACCCATTCCAGTGTTTCAGCACCCTCATTGTAAAGAATTTCTTCCTTATAGCCAGTCTAAACCTACCCTGCTTCAGTTTAAAACCATTACCCCTTGTCCTGTCACAGCTGTCCCTACCAAAAAGATTGTCCTTATAGTCTACATCAGGTTTATTTGTCTACTACATTTTGCTTTCCCAGCCTGCAGGGGAAGCAAATATGTAGAAGTGGAAAGAGCTGGGAGGCACTGCCTTTCAAAGACAAGATGCTTCTGTTCCCTGCGGTTGCTGCCTCTCTTGATGGCAGTCCAGCAAATTTAACTCCCAGCTCTACACCAGCCTGGAAAATTACTATTAAAAAAAGAAATATCTCATCTTGCTCCATTTTTGGCTTGTGTGCCACGTATACGGACCCTGGACTAGAGGGGACACTTTCAGGCAGTGTCTATGTTGTCAGGTATCCTCTCCCTCTCTTTTACACTCGCTTCCTCTTTAACTCCAGGGCCTTGATCCCCTTTAGATCCCCACTGAAAAAGAGACAAGAGGTCTATCAAGCTCCTTGCATCTGCATGGGCAAATCTTCTGACATCCCAGCCAGCTGCAAGCCCTGTCTGTTGCTATTCCATCCCTCCAGCCTGCAGCACAGACCCCAAGTGTTGTGCTGTAAATGCACAACTGGCAGCAGTGACAAAGCTTTCTTTTTATTCCTGGAGAACCACACACTCACCCACACCCTGGCAAGGAGATATGTCCCACACGAATTAAAATCTGGGCTGTGTGGGAGCAGCCAGCCCACATAGCCTGAAGCAGAGTGGACATAGCCAGTCTCACCGAGGCAATGGCTTTCTCCTGGGTGTGGACCACAAGGGCAGTGTGGACAAAACTAGATGTTATTTATTTATTTCTATGAACCTAGAACTTGAGCAATGGTAATAGTGCTGATACTGTCCCACTATGTTCATTTCAGCATATGTTCAGTGCCACATCCTTACGTGCGGATGGGTGGGATGGCAGTGCTGGGGCTATGCATACATGTGGTCTTCCTTAAACAAAGTGAGTGAATAGCAGCACATCAGCAACTGTAATGACATCATCATACTCATTGATTTGTGTTCAGTACCATTAATACCATTAACATACTATGGAATAACAATTTGCTAGTGCTGTGCAGTGAGGATGTTGTGGCAAAAAGCCATCTCTACCTGCTGGCACTAAAGCTAAACCATGGCAAGGTCGCTCTTGTTGAGCAAGCCTGCCTGCCACTAACAGGAGAGAAGCAAGGCGCTGGTGACTCACAGCTCTCTGTTTCAAGAAGAAGGGATATCTGGCCTAAGGATTGTCTGCCTTAATGCAGAAAGGGCAAGAGAGCCTGCCACAATGGCTCTGAGGAGGAGAGCCCTGTAGATTCCTTCCGCGCATGTCTACTGAGAAGCAACACCAAAGAACAGAGATAAAAAGCATGATCTGATATATGAAAAGCAAACACTGCCCCCTCCTCATGCAGAGCTGGAGGGGTGACCAGACATCCAATTATCTCCGTGGTTCCCAAACAGAAAGAACGCGGCTGACTGATTCAAAAGGTCAGCACTCAGAGCAAAGTTGCCTCCTCCCTGGCTTTTTGTTTTGCTTTGTCATGCCCACCTGAGCTCAGCTTTTTCCATGTTTTGTTTTAATTAAGCACTCCCAAATTGAAATCCCTTCTATTTATATCACAGATCTCCCAGAGCTTAAAAAATAAAGCAAGGGGGATGAGCAGAGGCCCTCTTGCACGGAGATATGCAAGGTTGTCTCAGGCCCAGCAGCAGCTTCGTTAATTTAGTGCTGGTGGTGTTTGACACTTCTGCTGCACTGTCAGGTTACATCAGCCAGAGCAGCTGTGGCACATATCCAGCTGTGGTGCATATCCAGCTGTGGCGCATATCCAGCTGTGGTGCATATCCAGCTGTGGCACGTATCCAGCTGTGGTGCATATCCAGCTGTGGTGCATATCCAGCTGTGGCACGTATCCAGCTGTGGTGCATCTGAGGTGCAAGCCCATAGGCATATGTTGCGTGGCACGATGTTGCGCAGTGTGGATGCTCCCTGTGACTGAATGGAATACTCTTTGGGGTATCTCGTACCTCCCTTCTGTCGAATGGAAGAACTAGCTCAGTTCTCATTTCCTTCCCCCTGCATCCTGAACAACCCCTTCCCTCCTTCTTCTCAGGCTTACGCGCTGGAAGGGAATCTGGAGCTGGAGCTGGTAAGGACCGCCTGCATGTGCAAAGTGGTGATCTGCTGCCGGGTGACTCCCCTGCAGAAGGCCCAGGTGGTGGAGCTGGTGAAGAAGTACAAGAAGGCTGTGACCCTGGCAATCGGAGACGGCGCCAACGATGTCAGCATGATCAAAAGTGAGTGATGGCCGACAGCCGGCACGCTCTAGCAAACTGACTCACTGATGTATTTGCTGTCTGAGGTGGCCTAGCAGCTGGAACACATTTCTGAGTGCCTTCTGTACTGCCCTCTTTGTGGCATCAAGTGGCTGTGTCCCAAGTGTTGGCAAGTTTCCTCAGAGCACTATCACGATAGGCCACTGGTGTCTCCTGCCTTCCCGGACACACAAGAGGGCCCTTTGGTGTGCTCCCACCACCAGGACCGCAGGAAGCTAAGGTTGCACTTACTGCCTATTTCTCTGTTTCTGCCTTAGAAAAGAAAAAAGCCCAGTGAGGCTGTGACATGTCCACCTGTGTGTCTGCATGGCCACCATCACTAGGGGAATACAAAGAACAAACAAGTTTGTTTCAGAGAGGGCCTGTCTGCAACGTAGAAAGAAAATCTCCATGCCTGTAAATAGTCTGTATAATGTTACATGATTTTTTTTTAACATTTCGATGTGGTAGGGCCATTTGTCAATTATCTCCCTTGAGTTACAAATCATGGGCTTCTAGGCCCCTTCGTCCTTGAGCATCACTTGATGCTGCATTACCTCAGTGTATTTATGAAAAAAAATCCCCGAACTAGGTATAATTAAATTAAGATTATTCAGAAGGGCCTATTGCTAATCTTCCTTGTGTTAATTTGCAAGAATTGATTAACTGTAGCCTTTTAATTAAGAAAGAAAAGGCTAAGTAGGGAGCTTCAAGGGAGATAAGTCAGGCAGTCAGTAAAGAAAGGATAAGAAAAGCTAAAGTGTACATGATAATTAGAAACTTACCCAATCCCCCCACGAGAGGGTTGGGACTTTGGGATTTTATTAATTCACTGTTCCATGGAAACCTCTGAATCTAACCAACCTCCAGCCATCAAGATTGTTCTCATTAGTTAAAGCGGTATAATTAGCTGTCACATTAAACTTATGTCCATGTTTAATAAACCCAAGTTACTATTAAAAAATATGTGAGTCTTCTATCTAACTGTTTGATTGAACTAATAAAGCCTAGGAAATGTAAAAAGGCTGCAGTCTGCCTTATAGCACTGCGTCTGAGAAATCTGTAAGGGGTTTGAAGATTTTGCTTGTCTGGAGCAGTATTTTAAGGCTGCTGGAAGGACATACATGCATGTAAATACAAGTCACATGTCAGTATAAATTAAAGTTATTTTTTCATAACCGCAGCTGTTATGAACAACAGCATTTATGCTGTTGGAAAACATTCAGAAAGAAAACATGAATTGTCGCGGAGGGTGTAATTTCATTCAAATAATACACGCCCAGTATCAACACAGCCAAAATCATAATGCTGCTGAAAGACTCCTGTCCCAAAATATTTTTATTTTTTTAAAAATAACTTTACATATGACTTTTTATGAAGGCTGGGAGGGAATTAACACGATGCCCCAATGCAGGTAAGTCATTTAAAAAAATGGGGTGATCAAAACTCTCGGTGTAATAACATGATCAATGATCTTGTTGCAGCTGCCCACATCGGGGTTGGTATCAGTGGCCAGGAGGGGATGCAGGCTGTCTTGTCCAGTGACTTCTCCTTTGCACAGTTCCGCTACCTGCAGCGCCTGCTCTTGGTCCACGGCCGGTGGTCCTACATCCGCATGTGCAAATTCCTCAAATACTTCTTCTATAAGAATTTTGCCTTCACGTTGCTGCATTTCTGGTATGGTTTCTTCTCTGGCTTCTCAGCACAGGTACGTCCAGATTCTGTTTTCTCACAGTTATGTCCAGCATTTTCAAGTATCTGGAAATATTTTAAAAGGAAATAAGCTAAGCCATTCCCCCCACCTGACTGAACGGCACACAGGTCTCTCTTCTTCACCTGTATGGGTGTGAAGCAGATATTGCTGCCTTCATTGTACTGCTGGTAGAGGACAGATGCCTGAAGACATTTTTTAGGTGCATTATGAAGCACACGGGTGCCTCGTGGGTTTTTGAAAGCATTCAAATTGACTATAGCCATCAAACAAGTTTCCGTCGGCCCTGCCCGCTGGCTGCCCGCTGCAGAGAGTGGGGCAGGGGTCTCCTTCTCTGGCTGTGGCCGGTGTGGATGCTGAGCAAACAGGGCTGGCATAACACAATCCTTCCCCTGTGTGTTCCCACAGCTTATGGTACAAGCCATTTAGAGCTGCTGAGCTTGAGTCACCTTATGCTCTTGGCCTCAGTAGTGTCTTGAACAAAGATGTGCCAGCATTTAACTGTGTATACTTTTGAGGAGATGGAAAAGGCAGCCTTTTGGTAACTCCATGCTCTGCTTTTTTTTTTTTTTCTTTAGACTGTCTACGATGAGTGGTTCATTACACTTTACAATTTGGTGTATACCTCCCTCCCGGTGCTAGGAATGAGTCTCTTCGATCAGGTACTGTTTCTATCAATGCCTGGATTTTTTTATAGGGGTTTTATCTCCAGCTTTGAGCTGGTTCCATGAAGCAAAAGCAGATGGCTTTTTGGTTAGCTATTTTGGTAGCCCCTAACATAGTTTCCTGCCCGTGAAAACTAATAGCACGTAATAAGGATGCACCAGGGAGGAGATGGTGTATTATCTTGATTTGGCCTGTGGGTTTCAGCGTGTGGTGAGACTTTTGGGTTAGGCTGTTGACTACAGTAAAAGCTGCCATTGCAATACTCCCCTGAAGTAGTCACATCTTATTAGCTCTGCTCCTGAAGCCTGACAAGTGACTTTTTAATGACCACACAGAACAATGAATGAACTAGAACTCTGAAGCCACGTTTCCCAGGTTCAGCATTTCTAGTGGAAGTCTTCCTGCAGTAATTTCACATACACATTTCCACCTCATATGCTATTACTATTCAGCAAGACATGGGAGCAATAAAGCTGCCCCTATATGCCTTTTACAAGTTAAATAAGTAGGAACTTGCTGCTCTGCAATGGTTCATGGTCTTCAGTTCTGGACACTTAAGGGATCCAGGTCAGACAGCCTTGCCTGTGTGTGGACCCAGGTGAGGTATCTTCTATCCCTCAACTTCCAGGCAGCTCTCAGGGGAGAAGACCATGCAGTCTGCTCAAGATGAAGTGTACCTTCGGGGTTTTTTTGCAGCACTTGTCAGATTTTTCTGCACAAGAAAGGTAAAATTCAACATGGAAAATGTGTCTAGGTGACCTTGGCATGTGGCATGCCCATCAGCACAACTGATTTGTGTGCTAAGCCTTTTCTCATGGAAATGCATGTCACAGGGACATGGCAACCCTAAGTGGTCTTGTGTGATCAGTTGGGTAGGTGCCAGCAAATCTGACCATCTCCTGTCTGCTTTCAGGATGTGGATGATCGTTGGAGCATGCTGTTTCCTCAGCTGTATGTGCCTGGCCAGCAAAACCTCTATTTTAACAAAGTGGTGTTTGTCAAGTGCATGTTGCAAGGAATCTACAGTTCCCTCATTCTCTTCTTCATCCCCTATGGGGCCATGTACAATACAATGAGAAGTGATGGGAAGGCCATTGCTGACTACCAGTCCTTTGCACTGATGGCCCAGACCTGCTTACTGATTGTGGTGTCTGTACAGGTAAGGCATCCCAGGTAATATTTTTAGGAATTAGTTGTTGTTTTATGACGGCAGCATCTGGAGAGCCACCTGGGATCTTGATAGCACTGTATGTGCTGCTGCATCTTGCATTCTTGCAAAAGAAGTCTCTTGACACCAGATTACTCTCTGATGTTCAACAGAACAACATATTTGTATGTTATGAAAGATCAGGGTGACAGGAAAGCAGAGTCTTTGCCTTGGGAATTTTGCAGTCATAGCAGACAAAACAGTTCAGGCTGGGAATGGAGAAGGACTCATTCCAGTTTTATGGGAAGGGTTTGAAGTGCAGGACTGTCTTTCTGCTACCAGGCAGTTATTTATAAGATCTTCATCATGGGGCTGCCTCTGTAGCCTGGGCCCATGCATGATGTAAATGCTAGTCCTGCACTTGCTGGAAGAAATAGCTAAAGTTCAGATGGTACTAGAAGGATGAGAGGAATTTCTTAAAAGAAATCAAATCAATCACACCTTCCTAGATGATTGTTTCTGCTGTCTGAGGTCTTGTAGGCTCCTTCTCCTAACTTTCTATGCTAGATCACAGCTTGGGGGTGGGGACATAAGAATGGCCCATTTAGAACTTAGTGTCCTGTCTCCAGTACTGGCCACTGGTGAATGCTTGAGAAGAGGGCAGCTACCGGGCAAATGTAGTAATGCTTGCCTTGAATGGTCTCCCGGTATCCTGTAATCTGTGGCTTGGTATTTCTTGAGACTTGAATGGCTAACAGTCTGGGGGGCAGGTGTACAAAGCAGAGGACAAGCTGTGTTCAGCACAGATCTGCTGAATAATTAAGGCATTGACAATAGCTTTGTTGCTCCATTCTTTCAGATTGGCTTGGACACCTCTTACTGGACAGTTGTGAACCAATTCTTCATCTGGGGCAGCCTTTCTGTTTACTTTGCTATCACCTTCACTATGTATAGTGATGGCATGTACCTGATCTTCACAGCCTCCTTTCCCTTCGTTGGTAAGCCCTGGGAGAAATCTGGACTGTACTCAGAGTGGGTATATAGTGGGGTTTAAATCTGTCTAGTATTTCTAGTACATGTTACTGCCTCTCTAAAGGCAATAACAGAATATATTGATTGCCTTTCCTACAATAAATGACAAGGTATTTCTGAGGGCTGCTGGGAATGCTTATTTTGAATCCCATCCATCCCGGTGAATGTGTGCCACATTCACTTCCTGCATAAGAAAGCACATTCACATGCAGCCACAAGAATGGTCCTTTATATAAAGCTGGCTGGAATGCTTTCTGCTGCTCTTTTATATTCTGTTTCCAGGTGTCCAATTCTAGCAAATATCTAGGAGCATTTTGTTTGCAGAAGGATGTGTGTTCTTTTGTTAACATGTTGGTATAGGAAAGTATAGAAGTACAACATCCAGTTAGACATGAGAAAAATGCCATGTGATTATGGTGAGCCTTCAGCCAGGTTAAATGGCAAATTCCCAACAAAAAAAATTCCAATGATGACCAGGTCTTTGGAGTTACTTTACATAACAGATTTCTGAAGACATACAAAAAGTGAAGGATAACATAAAAATTAGTCCATCTCCTGAGACTTTAACCAGGAGAAAGATGAAAGCTTAGCAAAGTAATTCAGATGTTTTTAATAGCTCTGTGCATCCATAGAAAACAGCGTTGTTATGAGGCTCTACTTCTGGAATCCCAGTGCTTTTTGTTTCAAGTCTCAGATTGGTGTATTAATCAATGCTTTTATGTCTGGATGAATTGCTAAGCCAAGACTTGTTCTGACCATCTTCACTGCAATACCAAGATGCTTGGCCATTTTAGAAATATCTGAGATGCAGGTCAGTTGTTGTAATATATTTTCCAAGCAGATGGTCACACCCACTGTAAGATGGCTTTTAGTATCAAAAATGCTGAGTGAGAGAAAACAGAGTGTCTGCTCAGTTTCCAAAGACAGGTGGTAACTCACTTGCCAGGGATATCTCTATCTGCTGCTCTGTTGGTACTATGTAGGTTAAATTTGCCAGCATCATAGAATCATTAAGGTTGGAAAAGACCTCCAAGGTCATCAAGTCCACCCATCAACCCAACACCACCATGCCTACTAAACCATGTCCCAAAGTGCCACGTCTACTCATTTTCTGAACACCTCCAGGGATGGTGACTCCACCACCTCTCTGGGCAGCCTGTTCCAAGGCTTGACCACTCTTTCAGTAAAGAAATTATTCCTAATATCCATTTGAAACTTCCCCTGGCGCAACTTGAGGCCATTTGCTCTTGTTCTATCCCTTTTTACTTGGCAGAAGAGACCAACCCTGCCTGGTTCCCCCCTCCTGTCAGGCAGTTGTAGGGAGCCATAAGGTCTCCCCTCAGCCTCCTCTTCTCCAGGCTGAACAACTCCAGTTCCCTCAGCCACTCCTTAGCCCTCCTAATGCCAAGGGCTGCTTAATGAGGTCTCAGTCTGAAACCATTTTTAAGGAAAGTGTTTCTAGTCTGGACTCAGACAACTTGTTTACTTTAATTTCAGTGGAGTTGTACTGCAGCAGAATTTGGCCAACTGAAAAGAAAACATTCAGCAACTTTACTGTCAACAACAGCATCATTAAGCCCTGTAATAAGGGGTTTGCAGACTGTTTGTTCTATCTTAGATTCCTTCAGTTTTGGAGAAGCCAGAAGTGAGAACTTTGGTTCCAGAGAAGGTGGCAGTGTCACGCCAGCACATGGCAGTTGCTCTGCCAATACACCCATTAGACTGTGCTGCCCATGCAGACACCCAGAGCAACACATGCTGCTCTCCTAAAGGGCTGTGATTCTGCCGTCTGCTGGGCAGTCGGAGTCAGTACTCCCTATGCTTCAGGAAATGGTGCCGGAAAGTAAGAAAACGGTATTCCTCCTTTTGCACTGCAGTACTGGCAAGAGGTGAGAGGGATGGACCGCTCCTGAAGAAGGTTGTATCAATCCTTTGCAGTGATTTGACTCTATGTAAAGAGGTGAGGCATTCACACCGACATCCTTGTCTCCCTGAGTTGTTGCTGCAGGTGTGTCAGGATGTTGCATTTTTCTTTGCTTGTCTCAGTGATACTGGTATTGCTGTCCTCTCTACAGCAAGCTGATTTCACTGTTGGAGATGGTGTCTGCTTTACATTTCGGTCTGTTTTCCAGGTGCTTTGGAATCACAGAGTGATAAGTTCAGGTGAATGACGGTGAGAGGTGCTGCTGTTATGGTTTTAAACATGCTTTTGTTTTTCAGGTACAGCTCGAAACACCCTCAGCCAACCAAACGTGTGGCTAGCAATCTTCCTCAGCATCACCCTCTGTGTGCTGCCTGTAGTTGGCTTTCGATTCCTGAAGGCTCAGCTAAAGCCAACTCCCAGTGATAAAGTAAGGAAATACCTTATTAAACCAGAACTCCTGCTTACTACCACCTAAGCTTACCGTGGAGCCATATTGCATGGGCTTGGCTTGGTTCAGTGTACATCTCTGTAGGTCCAAGTGCTGCCATCCATCTGTCCCCTGGTCCCCTGAGGAGGAGGACTGAATTTGGGTTTTGGCACGGCTCGAAGCATCTGCAGCTGAGACCAAGGCTGAGATTATTTAGATGTGGATTAGATTGCACTGGGGCGAGGAAGCCACACTATTTTTAGGTGCAGGGTTTAAGCGCTGTGGCTCAGTGGCAAAGGAGTGGCGTGTTCCTCCTGCCCAGCTGCTGCAGAGTTTTTAGCCTGGCAGACAGCAGCCCTTCATCCTCCACCCAGCAGTACACGTTTGCTGGAGATTTTTTTTTTTTCTAGTGCAGAATTTACTTTGTTTGTAGCCAATGGTTATACGCCCCCTCTGAAACCAGCTGCCCTCCCACCCCCAGTAATATGAAGATGAGGCCAGTAGGGCAAGGAGAGGCTGGGAGATACGGAGTGGGCAGAAACTGCAGAGCTCACTGCAGCCAATGGACCCCTCAAAGAGTATCAGCATCGACACAGCTACCCGGGCTGGCTTTCAAAGAGCATCTGCTAAATGCTGCTGCCACCTGGTGCTTCCCTCCTCTTCCTGCATGGAGCTGGAAGGCACGCGTGTCTCTGAGCTCAGTCCCAAGGGCCATGCACCTCCCTGCTCCCCAGCGACCTCCCCCATCATCCCTGGGATGTCTGCGAAGCTCCCCAGGTGTTCCAGGACTGCTGGAGGATGAGCAAGGGGGAATTCTCAGCCCTTGCCGAGGGGGTAGGTGAGCGCTAGAGAAGACTGCATAGGTAGGGAGGTCCTCAGGACGCAGCTAGAGGCAGCTCAGGTGTGGAAAAATGGTCTGAGTTTGCCCTTCAGTTGAGTCGAAGTCCAACACAGCTACGGTTCAGAATCCCAGCCTCAGTGCTTTGGGTTGAGCCTCTCTCTAGTGCAAAATCACTTTTCTACCTCCTCTGGGAAGTGAATTGTCATGGGAGAGGAGTGTTTGGGTTTCCTGCTGTACGGAGATCCCCAGCTGGCAGTATGAGAGGACCTTAAATACAGAACTGATGCTTAGAGAGTCCAAGTGCCTAGAGCTGCCGCTGTCCCAGCAGGAAGGACAGGGCTCCAGCAGCTGGGGATTCTGCCGAGGCGCTGGCACCCAATACTGGCCTCCTGCCCTTGACAGCCCCTTTCTGAAAAGGATGCTTGTCTGCAGATGATCTCGGTGGCCATGTGGGAGCAGAGAGCCCTCTACCTGCAAATAAAGTGCATTCTTTCTTTCCCTTCTGCTAAGGAATACGAGAATCTATTGATCCCCATATGCATCGTAAAAAGCTTTTATGTATCGGAGATCCCCTTCAGCAGTCTGTTTTCTAGATTAAGTAAGCCAATATTTAAATGTTTCCTTACCTGTTTTCTGGACTTTTGACTACTGTTGAGATGACTTTCACGTTTTGGGTTATTTGACTGAAGCGCCTAAAAGAGCTGCAGCAATACTGCAACTGAGGCATCGCAGAGCTGTCAGAACAATACACCAAAATCATCCCCGCCTGTGACTTACAGATGACGCTCACATTAATGCCTTTTAGATTAAGATTGCCTTTTTCTTTTACCAGGCTGCCACCCTGTGCTGCCAGTTCAGTTCCTGCTCTGCAGCTCCTCTTGCCATCCCCCTGTTTTGTCAATAATTTTTGGCTTTGGACCCCTTCTTCTGTTTCCCTTTCTTGGCTCCTCTTTTACTGTCCTTGTGAGTATTGGTGCACTTCCCACCTTTTCCATCTTATTTTCTGATTTCAGGTCCTGCTCAAGATCAAAGAAGCCAAAAAGAGGCCACCTCCACCCTCACCCAAGAGACGCCTGCGTCGGACCAGCACCCGCCGCTCTGGCTATGCCTTCTCCCATCAGCATGGCTTTGGAGCACTCATTATGTCTGGGAGAAACATGCGGCCAAAATCACCTTTTGCCACAACAGGAACATTTTCACCAAATAGTGACAAACATAAACACAAAGGACTGTAAAAAAAAAAAAAAAAAAAAAAAAAAGACAAAAAACCAACAAAGCAAACCAAAGTAAAGGGCTGTCAGGAGAGGAGGCTGTGCTCCCTGCAAACCACTGAGCCGGTGGCTGCCCAGACCTCTGCCCTCTGGGCTACCAGTTAAAGGACTTGGGCCTTTTCTTTCACCCACCGTGCACCCTCTGACTCCAGCTTCTCTTCCAAAGACGTGTGCTGCTGCCAGGGAAGGTGGGCAGGGTGATTTAGAGCGGTTGCGTGGTATCCGAGAGGGCCTCCCTGGGACAAGAGAGAACATGCTGCGGGAGGCATCTCCGCTCCCTGAGATTGTTCATAACGCTATTTTTTTTTTCTCCCTTTAACTACGTACCTCAGAGCAAAGAGAAGTCCAGGGTGAAGAAAAGGCTGAATTGGCGATGTTTTTTCTCATTCAAGTGCCTTTGTTTCTGTCATGAATCCACTCTGGGCTGTATTACTGGGGTGACAGTATCGATCCCAGGTGTGCCTTAGGTCCAGCCATATAATCCCTCACACCCCCAATCTTTGTAATATGTGTAATTTTGTATGGCCTTTTGACTGTACACAGGCACTTTGGAAGGCATGAGTTGGAAAAAAAAACTCCTTCCAAACTAACGGTTAATCCAGTTTCTCAAGAGATGGCCAGTGCCCAAACACCACCCTCTTCCTGCATCTGCAGTTGGGAAGTGCTGCAAGCTCAGAGAAACCCTTAGCTGGTCAAAGGACAAGGACTTGGTGTTCGTCAGCCTGCCCTGTTTTATCTGCATTGAAAATCTGCTCTCATAAAAGGTCCCTGCCCTCAGAGCCCTCCTCAGGTTTTGTAGCTGGACACCCGCCATTTCATTTAGACTTAAAATAAAAGGGCAAAAGAAGCTCAGGCTCCCATATGTATCAAATCATAAAATCTGGCTCTGAGAAGCCCCTGTTATGGTGAGGGCTCATCTCATCTGCCCGCACCAGGTCTTTCCCACCGTCACAGGCTGAGCCAAGCGCAGACCTGACTTGGTGGAGCTCACCCAAGCGGTAGGCGAGGCAGAGATGCTCCTTCACGGCTAGGGCAGGTGTCCTGCCCTTTACTCCACGGGTGCTGTCACCCAGTGTAGGGGATGGAGCGTGACCCTCCCCAAAGAGCGGTGTGGTCAGCTTTCAGAGGAATTTAGCGCAGCCTCGGCGGCCTCTGCAGAGCTTCTCCATGCTGGCTGATACTTTATTTGGGAACGGCCCATCCGTCAGTCATGAGCTGCAGAGAGCTGAAAATCCTATCAGTCTGGCTGCCAGCAGAGGGACCTAGGATGCGCAGACACAGCCAAAGACGTGGTGATCCGGAGAGACTGGGACATTGCTACACCAGCTCCATGGTCAGCCATGTCCTGCCAGCGCTGCTGAGCTGTCTAAATGGAGCTTTTTTGTGCAGAGCACTAAGCAGCGTTAGCTGTTGTGTATTTTTTTTTTCTGCTCCTTTATACAAATTTAGACACCTTCCTTTTTTTGAATTGGATTTTTTTTTTTTTTTTTTTTTTGCACAGTAACCGTCTGGTATTTATTGGGAACTCTCTGCCTTGAGTCTCGGAGCTATTGGTGGAGGCAGTGTATGATGGCAACAGGCCAGCCATGTCCCCAGTTTCAACTGGTCCGCATCTAACACCGTGCTGCCTGTGGTCCCAAGTCCCAGCGGTTCCTGCGTAAATTCTAATACAAGGTTTCATCTCCCTGCATTTATCTCAGCACAGAAAAAAACATTCTGTTGCACCTGCTGCTTTGGGAGGCTTGCTGCAAACTGTGGTATTACATTTCAGCATAGCCAGTGCAAAACTAGAGCTGGGACTGGATCCAGACATCAGCAGCCAGGATCTGCTTGCTAGGGAAGGAGCAAATTCTAATCCAGTGATCTCCCCTGCAAGGAGATACCCAAGTAAAGTGAGAGCCTGTGCACCCTGGCTGTGATAGTTAGTGCTTGTCACTGTCCTCTGATTTACCACTCACTTTGCAGAGAGAACCGTGGCTTTCTGATGAAGATTATATCTTTCACAGTCAGCCTCCCTGGGGCTAGGGGATAAAAGGAGAATTTATGCAGGTAAGCAGACACCCCCACAATAGCCAGGCTGATCTGTGGACCGAGAGTCCCATCAAAGCTGTTCCTAGCATGTAATGCAGCAGATCATAATGCAGAGCAGCAGAGGCAGACCTTTTGCTGACAGAGCAAGGGAACTCTTGAGACTGTGTCACTCTTCTCGTATGGTTTACGTGCAAAGCACTCACCTTCTGGCTGAAGAGGACTTGCAAATGCTGCATAGGATGTCCTGGGGATAATAGAGCTGTTGGTGAGCTTGCACCAGATACAAATATTTCATTTGAAACATATCAGCTGTCAGTGATGTCTGTCCTACATCACTCCTGATTTTGTAAAATCATTTTTTTTTAAAATAAAAAGAGAATATTGGGATGACCAGTTCCTTGCCAGTCTACTAATTAATCAACAGAGTTTATAACCAGATGTGTACATTATTCCTGGACCTCCTAAAGCCAGGGTGGGGGTCGGGGGGGCTTGGTCTGTGGGAGGATGGATCTGAGATTATAGTGCTTTTCATGCGGCATCCTAATTTGGGAAACAATTAAATTCCCAAGCTTTGCATCCTATCAGGGATAAAAAAGAGGAAACTTAGAGTAAACGTCAGACATCCATAGATGGAGGAGGGGGGGAGGCTCATCCATGGCTAGAGCGGGCAGCCCTGATGAGAAGAGGGGGGACAGCTGCCTGGGGATGTCGGTGTTTCTGTGTGCAGTGCTCTGCTCAGTCCCATGGAGGGGATCAGACCTCATGTCGTAAGTTGTGCAATGTCTGAGGATGATAATTTAGACTTTTATGAAGCTCTGGTATTTGATAGATATATCAAAAATTAATCCCTGAAATGTGTTTTTTTTTTTCTGGGTTTTTTTTCCCCCCTTTTTCTTATTATTCCATAACATAGAGGTTCACAGTTTGAACACTGTGTTCTGCTGCAGCACCTCAATAGTCGCCAAGCCCAGCTGGCTGCAGTTTCAGGATCAGGAATGACAATGCTTTGATGATAACCAGTGATGATGATACTGACGTGCAGAAAACGGACTCCACAATCTGTAAGATTGTAAAGTAGGTATGTTTATTCAGCGCTGGGCAGCACGGGGGGTAGTCCCACCAAAGTCGTGCGTGCGTGTGCGGTAGCTTGCCTTGAAGTTATACTACAAAGTGTTACATATACATAAGATTCCCAAATACGCCTATACATATGCATGACTTGTCCCCGCTTCGGATTAAAATTAGCCCCAAGAAGTCGTTTCCATAAACTCCTCCCAACTGCGCTTGCGCAGTGTCTCCTGGTGGTGGTCGTGGGGGTCGTGGGGGATGAAGGCCGATGACTCCTCTTCATCACCGCTAGTAACCCCTTCTTCTTGCGCAGACTCAGTTGCTCCTTGGCTCTTGTCCAAACTACAGGGTCGGTTTTAGCTGGTTCTCAAGGCCACTTCTCGGTTCTTATTAAGAACTTATACAATAGACAATAGTGACCACAGTTTTAAGCAACATCTTCTCTACTAGGATCCCCTTTTCAATACGGTTACGCTTCTCACACTGTGGCAGAGGAGCGCTTAGAGCATCTCCTCTCCACTGGATCCAACAGGGTGGCACAGAGCAACCTCTGCCACTAATAGTGTGGGGCATCAGGTGCTTTTGGGCAGAGGCACCTCGAGGGTGTCTTACGTGGCTAAGTGCAACACCTGCATTCCTTCTAGGCTGTTCTCACTTCACCAGTATGCATCCACACAGCTCCCTTCCACTGACCCTGTAGCCTGGAAGTCCTTACTCCTGAGCAGCTCTTGCGGAATGGGAGATCAAAGGAGGGCTGCATGCTTGCCCCAGGTTCTCCAACCGGAGTGATCCTCAACAAGGTTGGTTGTAGGAAAGGAGCCGCGGGTATAACGACTTGTGCTAATTACCAACTGGGAACAAAATCAGGAGCATAAGGGAACGCTTGGATAGCTGTGGGCAGAGGTGCTGTGTCCTGTAAGCCCATCAGACCGATAAAACTTCATCCTAAAACCAGCCGTTCCAGCTGGAAAGCATCCTGTGCTGATGGTTGTTTTTTCTTCTCTCCCTCTCTCCCTCTGATTTTCAACTCAAATGTGTTCACAGTGCCTTTATTCTCTTGTTGTCATGCCAGCATTATCCTTTTGCTTCAGCAGTTTTGTTTGTCTCCTGCGATATATTTAGAGAGCAATCCTATCTGCTCTCTGCCTACATTTGGCTAGGCTAAACAAGCCAGGCTCTTAAGTTTCTTCGTGTTTGATAGGTTTTCTGTTCCCCCCAGGCCCCTTCTGCACCTGTTAATTTGAGTTTATCATTTTTAGATGCGGGTGACCAGAATTTTTTTTTGTATCATGCTCCTGTCATCAGTGCCTGTGCAACAGCACTGGTATTTCACGGCCTTGTCTAGACTGCATTTGCTTTTCTTACGGCCTGTCTTTTCCCATGGGTTATCTCTGGTCTTATGGTCTATCTCTTATGGTCTATCTTTTCCTATAACTTATCTCTGCGATCCCTAATGCATCTTCAGTGGCTATTTTTCCTAGTTTTACTGTGAATATGCACAATTGTTAGCTAATCTTTTTAGCTAAATAAATACCTCTCGTCTCTCGCTGCCTCATGCCTGGTAACATGGGGAGGAGCTGCAGTCATCACAGCATAAGTCTGTGCATGTTGATGCTTTACACTGGTGCCTTGTCCTCAGGGGCAAGCTTTTTCCATGCAGGCTGGCAAGGGCTTTTTATACTGCATTTACTTATGTGTGGCCAATGTAAATACTCTGGAGTGAGGGAGCTGTCATTCCTGCGAGCAAAGGCGAGCTCCCAGCCTCAGCTCCCTCTCCGGGAGCTATCCCTGGCCCTATTCCAGTGACAGGGGACTGAGTTGCTGCAGGGGTGGACGTGATGCAGGGCTCAGAAGAAGGGCACAGAGCCCTGCAGCCTGGGCTTTGACCTGCAAGTGCTCCTGGCCGTAGCTGCAGCTCAGCTGCTCTTCAGTTTTTCCAAAGACAGTCTTCTGCTGCCCTACTTTTTGTAATTCGCTCAGAAGCAGCGAGTGGTTTTCTCCGCCTGGCACTGCAGAGGAGCAACCTCTCTCCTGTTGCTCCCAGCTTGAAGAGAAGCGGTTCTCATGCCCCCGTCCCTCTCCCCAGCCCGCCTCTCCTGCTGGGTGGAGCTGGCCTGTGCTGAGCTGTCAGCTCCCTGCCTTTCTGCTGAGCCCTCTGCCAGACTCTTCAGCTATAAATGGATCTGGCCTTTTCCAACACCCCCCCCTCCCCCCGACACCAAGACATGTTGCGGGAAATCGGAGCTGGGCCAGGCTTCCTCTGAATTAGGAAAACATACAATCCAACCACTGGCTTTTCACGGGTTCTCTGGAAGCATCGTGCCGGGCTTCGGGGGGAGCTGCCTGTGCCACGGTGAGGGCTGTGCTGCTGAATTGCTCGTTTGCACTGCACGAGCGGCTATCCTCAGACCTGAATGCCACGCTGGGGCAGACCCATAGCTGCTGTCTCCATGCACCACCCCACAAACAAAGCGCCCTCTGATCTGAGTGTTGTGTCTCAAGGGAAGGCCAATGTTTTTGTTACTGGCTGCATCCTGCTTCCACATCCGTATTAGGCACTTAATAAAAGAAGCCTGGCTTTTGTACATAATGCACAACCCCATTTGCCTCGCTTAACTTTGGGATTTACAGCAGAGATCCCGGGGTCTTTTAAGTTCTATTGCATTCCCCCTCCCTGGAGAGGCAGGGAGGGTCAGTACCTCCTCATTCAGCAGCAAGCTGGGGCCTGAAGTATGCAGACCAAGGTGACTCAGGGAGTCAGTAGCTGCCCTGAATTTTAAACTGAAGTCTTTTGTGTCATCTGGGGTAGAGTGCTACCCTCCATCAGCCCCGCAGGCTTCCAGGCCATTCATTCCATGTAGAGTACAGGTCTGTATTTAGAAAACTAATTTGTACTCTCATGTTGAAAAATTGTAGTCTGAAAGTCTCCTAGTTCTTGTGCTTCATAGAAGCTGCTGGGCCAGGTTCCAGCCTGGTGACCTTTCACAGGCAGCAGTGGGTTTGCATCCTTCAGGCTTAGATAGCAACACCTAGAGCAGCTGCTTTCAGAGGCTTCCTTACCTCCTGGCAATCGTCCCTCAAAAACCTTCAGGCTGTGGATAAGGGGACATATAATATTCAAAAGGTGCAAGCCTGGTTTATGGTTTCCCGGTATTCTGCCTGTAGCTCTGCTTCTGGTTCAGTTTTTGCTGTGGCAGCAGATGCTGTCTTTGGGATGGGCTGGTGGAGCTGTTGACTGGGCAGTGTGCGCTGGGAAATGTGAGGAATACATCTGTTCTCTTTCAATGTGAGCTGGAGAATGTGCTATCCCAGTCTAGGGTATTACA